GTGCCCCTGACTGCCAGCTGTCTTCCTGGGGATGCTAATGGAGAGTGTGAAGGAGGGAAGGGGGAGATTGGGTGGGAAGGTGAGGGAGGGATGAGGCAGGGCAATTGGAGAAGAGCAGAGATGTGGCAAGGAACTTTAGGGGGCAGTTTTTATGTTGTTGTTGTTGTTGTTTGCCGTCGAGTCGGCCCCGACTCATAGCGACCCCTCCTTGGGTTTCCGAGGCAGTATCACTACGGAAGTAGGATTGCCCAACCTTCCTTCCGAGGAGTGGCAAATATATATGTAACAGAACATCTGATATTTCAACAACCTTCACATGTACAGTTCAGTGACATTAATTATGTTCATCATGTTGTTTAACCATCACTCTTATGCATTCCCAAATTAAACCATCACCCTTAACAGAAGCTCAGAGTTCTCTAAGTATTCAGGCCTCATTGCCCCTTCCCTCACACCTGCCCCTGGTAACCACTAATGGACTTTGGTCCTAGATGCCTATTCTAGATATTTCCTATCACTAGAACCACCCAACATTTCTCCTTTTGCATCTGGCTTATTTTATTCAGCATAATGTTTCCATGGTTCATCCATGTGGTAGCATGTATCTGAAATTCATTTCTTTCTATGGCAGAGTAGTATTCCATTGTATGGACAGACCACATTTTGTGTATCCATCTGTTGATGGGCATTTAGGCTGTTTCCATTTTTTGACTATTGTGAGTAGTGCTGCAATGAACACTGGTATGTAGAGAGAGGGAAGGTTCAGTGAACATATGTAACTGGGGCCTCCGTTGCCTCCTGTAATCAATGCTGTGTGTCCCATCCTCATCAAGCATTAGAAGTACTGGGCCTGGCCCCAGTCTCAGGGATTTTGACTGATTGAATTGGCCTGCTGGGACCTGGGCATGAGTCTTTTTAAAAGAGCCCCAGTCTGGGAAGGGCAGTGTTTGCCAATCTGTGCAGAGGGGTCTGTGTTGGGGTGGGCTAGTAGGGAAGTCCTGGAAAAACACAGCAGCTCTGAGTTACATGAATTATTCAGCTTGTCATGTAGCTCAATGTCCTATGTATTTCTCTTACTTAATCCTCAGGAACCTCATGAGATTAGTACTACCTTATCTCTTTCTCTCTGGTGATGATTCTGAGGGGTCAAGCAATTGCTCTGAGACCACACAGCTAAGTGGATAAAACCTGGAGGTCTGTAAGTCATGGGAATACACCAGGGCTGATGGGGAAGATGACCAAACGGAGTCAGCATATAGGATGCTGTGCTGTGGGACAGCAGAGGGCTCAAGCAGCACATGCTCATGTTAGCTGCTGGGCCCAAAACTCTGTGACTGTATGGGTCAGGTACCTACAGCTCAGAGAGGTGAGATGACTCATTCAAGGGCACAATGTCCCACTGGTAAACCTAACTCTGGACTCCCAGCCACCTATCTTCCAGTTGGGATGCCCCATCGAGGAGAGAATAGAGCATTCCTCAGTTGCTAGAACAAACCAATGAGGTCCTGAGCATACACAAAAGTGTTTAGATCTAGTAGTTAGTAAGAAGGGGTCCAGGCTGGGGCCCTGGGCAAGTATTCCTAACACTGTCTGCAGGGCTGGCTTCCTGATATAAAAGAACAAAGGAGGTACAAGTAGAAAACATGCTTTTTAGATGTGAAGCAAGGTCTTATAAAACAGGTTAAAATATCAACAATTTCTGAGCCTCTGGAGTATGACGAGAGAGTATGGAGAAGTCCCATGGTCCCTCTTAAGAGCCAGGCATGAGTTTTCTGACTGTTGGGCTTGCACTAAAGTTGTATCTCATCCAACCTCCTTCTGCACCTGGTGTGTTCACCAATAAAAGGATGCCTAGCTGCCCATCTGCTACTGTTGAAGTCTTCCTTACTGAACCTGTAACCAGACAGCACAAGGAGTTGAGGCTGGGAATCAGAGGTGTGAGCCTGAAATCAGAGGCAACCTGTTCTACACCCTGGAAACTTACAAATCTCTGCAGCCTTTGAATTTTGAGCTAAATGGAAAGAAAGACTTTATCTTCATAAGGTCTACTGTGCAGGTCTCGTTCCTTGGCTTTGGATATTTGCTGTTGAGTCAGCTATGATTCATGGTGACCTTATGGACAATAGAATGAGACACTGCCTGGTCCTGTGCCATCTTCATGATCTTTGGTATGTTTGAGCCCATTGTTGCAGCCACCATGTTGATCCATCTCATAGAAAGTTTCCCTTGTTCTTGCTGATCAAACTTTACCAAGCATGATGTCCCTTTCTAGTGATTGGTTTTTCCTGATGACTTGTCTAAAGTTAGCAAGATGAAGTCTTACCATCATTGCTTCTAAAGAGCATTCTGGTTGTATTTCTTCTAAGACTGATTTGTTCATTCTTCTGGCAGTTCATGGTACATTTGGTTCTTCACCAACACCATAATTCAAATGTGTCAATTCTTCTTCAGTCTTCCTTTTTACATTGTCCAGCTTTCACATGCTTTTTGTAATGCAGCCAGTTCCCTCCTCTCCTGAACCAGCATAGTTTCCTGAAGAGCAGCACCATCTGAAAGAGGCTGATGTGACTATTGCCACAGGTGTCAGCTCATGACTCAGACACATTTTGCCAACTCTCCATTGGAATTTTCACAGGTGATTTAATAGTTAAGAAGTTACAATTTCATTGTCTTGTTCTTTATTTTTCTTTGATAAACAAAGGCATTAATAATCAGTCATGCAGTGGCTTATTGCTCAACTACAGCAATGAAGACTGACATTTTACAAATGCTTCTGTGGTGTCCAGCTTGTCTGTCCTAACTGCTTTGCCTGCATCACCTCTGTTAACCCTCTTCACCAACCTAAGGACCACCAACTGCCATTGAGTTTCTCCAGCTCAGGATGATCCATGTGTCCAGAGTAGAACTGTGGTCCACAGGGTCTTTAATGGCTGGTTTTTTGGAAGGAGATCACCATGGCCTTCTTCTGAGGTGCCTCTGGGTGGACCCAAACCTCCAACCTTTTGGTTAGCAGCCAAATGCTTAACTTTTTAGAACACCCTGGGACTTCAACCACCTAAGGAGGTAAGTACTACTTGTTGTTGTTGTTGTTATGTGCCGTCAAGTCAAACCCGACTCATAGCGACCCCTCTTGGGTTTCCGAGGCAGTATCACTATGGAAGTAGGATTGCCCAACCTTCCTTCTGAGGAGTGGCTTGTGGGTTTGAACCACCAGCCGTCTGGTTAGCAGGCAAGTGTCTTAGCCACTATGCTACCAAAGCTCCCTAAGTACTACTACTATCCCCAAAACAGAGGTGCAGAGAGATTAAACAGTTGCCCAAGAACAGGGAGATTTGGGATGGACTCTGTTGGCTACAGTGTGTTAGAAAATTAATACCAATAGCCCATTTAGAATTTCTACTTTTAAAGAGATCTGAGAACTTTACAACTTCAGTCAGTGCCTTTCTAATGCTGATCTAATGATCTAAAGGTTTCTGAACTGCCTCGTATATAATAATATGTTGAGGACCCACTATGTGGAAGGCATTACGTTTTCCTGATTTTACCAGTTGCTGTTGACTCTGTTTTATGGCAACCCTACGTGTTTCAGAGTAAAACTGAGCTCCACAAGGTTTTTCAATGGTTGATTTTTTTCAGAAGTATATTGTCAGAACTTTTTTTTGAGGCACCCTGGGGTGGATCTCAATTGCCATCTTTCACTGGCAGCTAAGAGTGTTAGTTAACCATTTGCACCATCCAGGGACTCCTTTTGCCAATCTAGAAATGAGGAAGTGGGGGCAGTGGTGGTTCAGTAGTAAAATTCTTGCCTTTCATGAGGGAGATCCAGGTTTGATTCCCAGCCAATGCATCTAATGAATAGCTACCACTCAGTTGAAGCTTGCATGTTGCTATGATGCTGAACAGGTTTCAGCAGAGTGTCCAGCTTAACATGGACTAGGAACAATGGCCTGGTGATCTAATTCCTAAAAACCAGTCAGGGAGAACCCTGTGGATAACAACAGATCATTCTGCAACCAATCATGAAGATGGCATACACTGAGTGACCAACTTGATGACAACTAATAACAGGAATGAGGAAACCAGGCATGGAGAGGTGGGGAACTTGCCACAGAGTCAGCATGCAAACCTAGACAGACTACTCTGGATCCCACCAGGGCACCACCACTCTCTGTGGCATTCACTCTGTAGGGACATGTCTGCAGGCAGGGTGTTTGAACTGACTGGCAACCTTTTCCTTTTCATAGCCCTTATTATATTGACCATTTGCAGGAATGGATATTTTATTTATTTATTTATTTATTTATTTTTATTAGGATTTGGGTGAAGATTTACAGAGTAAATTCACTTTTCATACAGCAGTTCACATATACTTTGTCTCATGTCATTGACCAAAATTTACAATGCAGCAGCTCCCCTCCCACTTCCTCCCCATAGTTACCTCCTCCCAGTGTCCATCCCTTCATACTCTTCTGCACCCTGAGAGGCCCATTGTCTGCCAACCCTGTATATGATCTTGGATACACTCTCCATTTAGACATACATAATTGTTTAGCTTGTTCACCCATCTATCCGTCCCTATACCCATGTTTGCTTTCATTGACAACTCAGTATTGTATTTGCAAAGGGGTTCATATTTGTTGTTTGTACTGCCCATGTAACTCTCTCTGTCTTTCTCATCCTCAATGCTGCCATATTGGTCACTCACATTTGGTACATTGCCCTTCTCTTCACCCAAATCAATATTTATCTCTATCTATCTAACAGCATTCCCTCCCCTTCCCTCCCACCCCTGGTAACCAACAAAGAAAATGTCCTCCAATATATAAACCTTTCCTTAACTTTCACAATAACGGACTAATACAATATTTGTCCTTTTGTGACTGACTTATTTTGCTCAGCATAATGTCCTCCAAGTTCATCCACGTTATGCGGTGTTTTGCAGATTCTACATTATTCTTTAGCGTTGCATAGTAAGGAATGGATATTTAAAAATGACTCACCTTTTCTCTCTGAATACCTGAGGGAAGATCAAAACCTTTCGCTGCAAGAAATACCCAGCTTGACCTAAATTTCATGTTCCTGATTTCTTTACTTCCAAGTGCTTCGATGGCATTCTTGGCATCATCCTTCAGCCTGGGGAGCAGAGGCAAAGGTATATGAATGTCTCATTTGTGGAGACACCTGCATAAGAAAAGCTCAGGTTTTACATGTGATTTTGCTCTTGGGCAGAGATTTCTAAACAGCCTCTTCTATGGTGTATGATAAGAGAGGATAGATAGTGCACAGGTCAGTTGAATTTTAGGGCAAATATCAGCAGAAAAAGGAAAAAAAAATTTTTTGGTGCAAAAAGAGAAAGAGACTTCCCTTCTCCCCTTTTAAGGCATTTATGTTAGAAAACTTGTCATTGTAAATTCTTTCTTTGTCTCTTTTGAAATGTACATATCTTGTTAAAGGTGAAAAATAATTGCCTTCCTCTTCAGAACCAGTCTTATTTTAGCATCATTTCCTGGAGAGTATCACTACCTCATTTTACAACCCAGGAATGTTTTTCTCAAGGATGGGGGGGGGG